TTTCTTTCTTTCTTTCTTTCTTTCTTTCTTTCTTTCTTTCTTTCTTTCTTTTTTTCCTATCAACAGTTGTTTATTGGGAACATTCTGTGGCAGCTGCTTGTCTGTTTGAATTCTAAAGTTCCAAAGTACTTTAGCTTCTTCATTTTCTATGGTTGTCTCTTTTTTGTGGCCCGCTTCTTGCTTGCTGACAAATGGTATTTCTTGCACATCTTCCAATGCACCATTGTTTGTTACGCTGCTGCTTGTAATCTGTCCATTTGATCTTCCCGCAGCAATTAACTAGGTGGTATTCAGCTTTGTTCAGGTATTTTCCCATGTCATTGTAGTTGTGCTTTTAAAGTTGTAGCAACGTTTCGGCAGAATCTCATCTGCCATCATCATGCTTCTGTATTGTGTTCGTCCAGACTCACAACACAGCATGCATGTAAATATTGAATTTTTTATTTAAAAAAAGAGAGCAACTTTTACCCATTCAGAGATCTATCTATCTGCCATTGGCTAGCTCAGTCTGTCACAAAAAATTTGCTTGCAAGCAAACTCCTAAAATGTACTAGCAAGCAAACTCACAAAATGAACTCACAACACACCATGTATGTAAATATTGAATTTTTTTTATACAAAAACTAATTTTTACCCAAAACCAGGCAAAGCAGGCAGATTGAGTTGCTCACAGAATCCATTCAGTGATCTGTCTATCTGCCATTGGCTAGCTCAGTCTCTCAAATTTGCTTGCTGTGAGTCTGCACTGAATTTGCTTGCAAGCAAACCTTCAGTCCTAAGGGAAGCAGAGCCTAAGATCTAAAGACTAGCTAGAAAGCAAGAAATCCAACCATTTCCTGCTTCCTAGCTAATCTAAATCTCCCGGCACAGCAGAACAGATGATGGTCAGGGGAACAAAAAAGATAAAATAGCAATTTTAGCAGGTAAGTTTGCCCGGTAAGGAGTGAGTGGACGGGGAGGGTTCCTGCGGGCCATGTGGGCGGTGCAGTGTTGTGTTTCTGCGCAGCTTGGATTAATTGCTTTGGGGAGGTGCTCTGGGGGTGAGATTTTTCTGCGGCCCACCAAAATTTTCTCAAGGCCCACCAGTGGGCCGCGGCCCACCGGTTGGCGACCGCTGTTCTAGACCACTCATCTAAATGTTTGTATTTTTATAACTCCAGAAGTAATAGGTGTGGTAGGTTATAATAAGCTTTCCCTGGGATACTACTGTAATAATTATGGGATGGCAGCTATGCAGATTCTATATTTTATGCTGTTGCTGTTTATGGATTCACTAGTGGAATAAGTACTTGTGTTGTAAATACTTGTGTTAGTGTCTTATTTTTGTCCTTTTGAATCAGTGTTGTCTCCTGACTACTTCCTGTTCTAGCCTCTGCAATTTTCTTGGCAGGATTTTGGGGAAATGTTTGCCATTGCTTGCTTCCCAGGGCTGAAGAGAGTGTGACTGGCCCAAGGCCATTCTTTTATATTTTATCATGGCTTTTCTTTTTATGTTTTTTCTTTTTAGTTCATTAATTTTTTAGCTGTGCATAAACTGTTCATCTGACATGCTACTTCCTCCCATCTGATTTTAAACTGTGGTTCCAATTAGGCTCTAATTTAATTAAATATGTGACATGGAACAGTTTCTACTCTCTCCTTATTGGTTATGGCATTCAAAAGTAAGTTCTCAAACTAGAATCTATAATAACAACTTGCATACCCACTGTTCACAAGACATGTGGATAATGAATTTATGAATCTTTTAATGAGTAAAAGAATGCTAGCTTAAAATACTATTAGCATGTCTCAGGGCAAAATAAAAGCTATAAGAATGTACTTGCATTGTTTGCTTATTTGTTTGGGTTTTTTTTTCTTTCATTTTTGTTGTCATTAGGGCTTCCAAGATTCATTACTCAGCCAGAGTCGGCATCTGTTCATAGGGGAAACCCCATAGTTCTTAACTGTGAAGTTAATGCTGACCTAGCACCGTTCGTCAGGTGGGAGCTGGATCATCAGCCCCTCTTTCTGGACAATCGTGTCCTCAAGTTGCCAAGTGGAACTTTAATTGTCAGCAATGCTACAGACGAAGACGCTGGAACTTACTGTTGTGTTATCGAAATTGGGGGGCCTCCCAAATACAGCGACGAAGCAGAGATTAAAGTTCTTCCAGGTACAGGCACCGGTGCTGAGGTTTTTCCTCTTCTGGTTCTTTCTTGCGCATCACGAGTAAGGTTGTTCAATGGATATCAGAAAGTCTAAACTTGGAATTCAAACTTGCTCATTTGAAATGGATGCTTGTCTGCAACCTTTAAAAGTCCTTATAAAAGTTTATTCTAAAGCAAGGGTGTCCAATCTTGGCACCTTTTAAGCTGGCTGGGGAGTAAAGTTGCCAAGGTTGGGCACCTCTGTTCTAACTGTTTCAATTTTTTGCCAGGGGGTTTCCTGAATATTAACAAAACAAGTGTAGTTTTAGACACTATGGCAAGATAAGGCTGGTATCTATGCCAATTTCAAGCACATTTCTCTAATCTTAATTTGCTGTTAAATGTTTTATTAGAAGCAAGTGAAAAACCAGTTAGAATATTATATTACCATCCCTTTTCATTTAATTTAACCTGCTATTTCCTGATACTATTTGCAGAATCGAACCTTTCTTCAGGCTTGCTCTTCCTGAAACAGCCCTTTTCCCTTACCAAAGTGACTGGGCAGAGTGCAGTTTTACCATGTGTTGCTTCAGGCATTCCTGTCCCTCCAATCCGATGGACAAGAAAAGAAGAAGAGCTTGTTACTGAAAAGTGAGTTTTTAATTCTGATATTCCATGTGGAAGTCACAGAAATTGTTGCTCTCGGGAGACAGCTGGTTAGCAGACAGAGCCATCAACTATTGTCCTATATCGTGGAAACTGCTAAAAAGAGGAACCTAACAAAATGTTGATGGGGGGGGGGTCTGAGTTAAGAAAGCATTGATGTGGTAACAGGAGGGCCTTCTTGTTTAAAAATGTGTGATGCTAGACTAGGAAAGGGCACAGCTGCTTTAGGGAGCAACTGTCAGGTCCTGGATGAATGGACATGTTAGAGCCAAAGGTGACTTGTATGTATATGAATATGTATCATTTCTTCAAAATGTAGTCCTCGCAAGCAGCTCCTCTAACAACTAGATCCACTAAAAACTGAATTTAAAGCTACTCCCAAGCCCATTATTTGGAGGTTTATTATCTTTTTTACCATAAGAAATCTCTTAATATAACTTGATATTTATTTCACATTCTGTCACAATGCCTTGTTGAGCTTATAAGTCTGTCTATCCAGCTTTCCAATCTCTAAGCCATACAGTATTTATGACACAACTACATATACTTTGGAAATATCCCCCCGCTCTCTCTTAGTATTCAAGCTCTTATATGTTATTATAAGCTCAGTGCTTTTTAGCTTTGTTCATTGGAGCTTTTGTTTTAATTATTGTCTTTGTGTCAATTATTAATTCTTAAAACATTCCTAAGCCTTGGATAGTTGCTATGGCAATGTTGACTTGTATCACCTGTAATAATTAGTGCAGCAGATTTTCAACCAGAATATTTTCAGTTGAATTTAAGAACTAACATGTTTTGAGAGGAAGGATGTTAAAAATATTCTGGCTTCCAAAGAATGTTGTAAATATATTTGAATATTAGTAGCTCAGGTTGGTAGTTGGGTTGTTGGTTTGAGCTCCGAGCTTGGCGATTTGGTTACCTGTACAGACAAGCAAAATTCAAAGCACACTGATGATGACTCCTCAAATGGTGATGAAACCTTTGCAACCAAATTGCCAAGCTTGGAGCTCAAACCAACAGCCCAATGTTGTAAATGTTTGCATTTTTTAAAAAATCTGAATCCCTCATAATCATTTTTTTAAAAACCATGAATCCCTCAAAAAGTCACTCCAGCGATGTGTCTTCTTTTATACAGTTCTCACAAATTTCTGTTCCTGTCTGGGGGAACTCTGAAGATAAATGATATCACCGAAGATGATTCAGGAACATATACTTGCATCGCAGATAATGGGAATGAAACTATTGAAGCTCGAGCTGATCTTACTGTGCAGGGTATATATATCTATATACATATGCATATATACACTTTTTTAAAAAAAGAAAAATAAGTGCTAATATAGCTGAGGCAGTTGAATACTTTAAAAAATCAATTGTTTTGTTCAGGAGCAAAAGAAATGTAGTTATGATTATCGATCCCAGGTATTGGGAGAGCAGTGTGACTGAAGCAAGAGTATTATCATAGCTTAGAAGTGGAATAATAGATCCTTTGCAAATTCAATTTATAACATTTCTATACAGAGTTGGGAAAGAGCTCAGCTTAAACCACTGGAAAGGTTCCACCTTGAAAACAATGCTAGGTAGACAGGTAAACAGATGGCATGAGGTGGATAAAGGTGCTTCATTTATTACTTTGCAAATACAAAGTTGACATTAGTGCCTTGTGGCTTGAAGATAACAAGAACTTTTCTCTCCCAAGAGTGTACTATATTCTTCAATAGAGACACATATTATTTTTATGGTAATGTAGATTATCCGCATCAATGTACCAAAGACTGTGTAGTACCTCTACAAGTGGATAATATTATTCACATGTATATGTAGTACAAGTCAGTCCTGACTTCTGATGTCTGCATGGACTTTTCTTGGCAACAAGTTTTGAAGTGGCTTGCCATTCCTTCTTAGAGATAAAAGGGGATTGCTTGCCCAGAGTCACCCAGCTGGGTTTGCGCCTAAGCCAGGACTAAAACTCCCAGTCTCCTGGTGTTTGGCCTGGTCCCTACACCAAACTGGCTCTCAAACAACTTTCGACCTCTGTAAATTTCCAACTTTCAATTTTAGGGTTCTGTATTAAAAGATACATTAAGGAAGAGGAAATTGATCTGATCTCACGTACCAGATTTCCCCTGTATAAATGATCAGAAGGTAGTTTTCTCTTTTATCACTGTAATTCAGGAAGTAACATGGAGACAGATAGATGAAGACAAGGTTATAAGTTCACTTTTCAGCTGGGAATGTCAGCCACTGTATTTAGCTCTGCAGGAGATTCCTGAAAAGGGTATGACGTAAATTACATTGGTTTTTGAGCTTCCTGGCCTGTCAATGTCAAACATTATTGTTAAAAAAATTCTATCAAGTGGAATTTCTCTTTGTTCTTTTAAAATGAAGATTTAAAATGAACACTGGAAAAAATGTAAATGAACTGATAGCACTCCTGATTACTCCTGCAGCCAGAGTATATAGGTTGATTTAAATAATAACTCAGTGCTAAAAAAATGGGGTTGAATTCCATATGTGTGTGTGAATTTAGAAAGTTGCTATTGCTCTCATTCATTAAATAAAATAAAATAAAAGCCTTAATATCACATGTAGGTGGTTCCTCTGCCTTTTTGTTTGACACCTGGGAAATCTTGGAGCTTCTAGTAGCAGAATTATTTTCAAAAGCATCCTTGTTATATTATAAATTGTTCTGGACTTTAAAAGAGCTACTAGATGGAAATATTGACAAATACATTCCCAAAGTAACATTGTTCATCAACAGTCTTCTTCTTTGTTTTAATTCTTTACAGACATTTAGAAATAATGAATTGCTTTGTTTCTACTTTTATGAAGAAGCATTATGAAACTTAAAACCAAGATATTAGTGAATGAATCTTTGTGAAAAATTGCTTTTTCAGTTAAGAGCTTCCCATCAAATCCTGTGAGACCAAAATATATCCCCGAGTAGTTGATATGTATATACATAAAGTATCTCTGATAGTGATAGTGATACTCAAGAGAATTGTATTTGATAGCTTTTAGATTTCAACTAAGATTTCTTAAAAACTTATTTATAATGTATTAACAAAGCTTTATGCCAGCTGCTGATTTATGATAGCTTGCCACTTTTAGAAGATTACATCTGCTACACTGGCAACAGTGTATTTGCTTTCCCATTTTTAAATGCTGCAACAGTGGGAAATTTTATGTTTCTCTTTTGGCACTTATCTGAAATTATTGATCTTATAATTAAAATTAAAATTCATGGTAACGGGGCTTTTACAGACTAAAGGCAGATGTACATTACTGTGTACAGTTTCAACAATACAATTATAAGCATTCATGGTTAGAATATATTTCAGATCTATTTATTTGAATCAGTTCTGGTGTTGCTGCCTAAAACATCACGGATGCGGCTTACTTATTTCATACAAAACAAAATGATTCCCTTTGCCACTCAGAAAAGGTCATTTGTGGGTGAAGTTTGAGCATGTGCCTGAACTTAGACACTGTATTACAGTCATTAAAGCAGGACATTTGATCTTGATCTACTGATTGATATTAAAAAATATAGCTGAAAGCTTTAACTGGGATTTCACAATGACAGGCAATATGAAAATAAGCTGTAAAGCTCATCTTTGCTTCTCATAATTTTTTTGTTTAAAGAATAATTTGGTAATTTTTTAAAAAAACTGTCTAAATTTGCCACAGGTTAACCTTTGTAAAATTGTATAGCTTAATTATTTGTTCTTTACCATGGATGGAAGGCATCTTAGAATAAAGTTAGATATCTTTGAAATATAAATGAAAAGATATTGTCCGATCAAGCCATTTTCTGTTTGATTAATAATTAGTCATTGACCTTTCTCACTTTGAAGTGCCTCCCACGTTTATGAAGCAGCCGGCTAATATTTATGCACACGAATCCATGGATATTGTGTTTGAATGCGACGTGAGCGGAAAGCCAACTCCAACGGTCAAGTGGGTAAAGAACGGAGATGTGGTCATCCCTAGTGACTACTTTAAAATTGTAGTAAGTACATCTTTAATAAGACATTTGGTCTGGTTTAATGATCACGAGCTCATGCTTAGGAGAATGCCCAATAGCTTGGAATCACTAGTATGTTCCCCTAGAAAGTGTAAATATAAAAATCTTTCCCTTCAAATAACCCAGTCACAACAGTTTGCACCTAGAGAGTTGGAAGAGCTTTTGGGGTTGCAGGACTGTTTCTTATCATTAAACTGGAAATATTTCCAGTTATACAGTTGATATGAACTGCATCCTAGAGCTAAGACATGAAAAATGTACCAATTCAGTTTTATATTACTTAGCAAAGAATCCTGCCATTCGTGTTTTATTGGAAGGTGTCGGGAGTAGGATTCTAAGGAGAAAATTTATTCCCTATTGGTCCCCTTAATATAGCCAAGCTTAAAATCCCAATGGCAGTGAACTGTAGAAAAGCCAACAACTAAAAGTATATAACAGCAAAACTAGAGAAAAGAAAAGGCCAACCAATCTTTAGGTTGCGTATAGCAACTGCTTCAGCCAGAAACGGAGACCGAAGACCAGCATGTTGGAGAATATGGACTAAATTGCTCTGTGTAGGTAGGTAGGAAAGAATGCAATCAAGTTGTTATTGCTGAAACAAGAAATGGTGTTTCAGTTCAGCTGCTTTATGGACATTGAACAGAAAGGGAACGCTGTCTTGCCCTTTGTCCTTTCCTGGCCTTGCTGATAGGGCAGAACAGCTAGAGGTTGAAACACCAAAGGGAGATGATCATAAAGCAGCAGGAATTCTTTGCAGATTGGGCAATACGCAAATGGCAGAAGTAAATAAATAATGAAGGACTTATTAAATTACTTCTGTCAGCATTGAACGGGATAAATAAGGGGATGTAAAAAAATAAGATGTAAAAAAAAACAAAGAATAAAATAAGGACAAGTCTGAATGATAAGGATGGAAAGAGAGTTGTGAATATATAACACACACACACACATTTTTATAGTTTTTATTTTCAAAATCCTGAACAGTGACTAGAAGATGTTATAGTGAATGCTGTACATCTTTTTTTTTGTTTGTTTTTTAAAGAATGAGCACAACCTACAAGTTTTGGGTTTGGTGAAATCAGATGAAGGCTTTTATCAGTGTATTGCGGAAAATGATGTGGGAAATATACAGTCTGGAGCCCAGCTGATAATACTGGATCATGGTAAGAAAGTAGAGTCATACATTGTTAAAATATAGGGCAGAATATCGAGCTATATTTTCCTCCCCATGGGGCACTGCTCACTCATGGATAGATTGTTCCTCCCTATAATTTTTTATTTTTTCCCCCATTCAGTCGTGCCCAATTCTCAGATACTGCTTGAACAATTCACTCCAGTTTTCTTGATGAGGTTTTTCAGAAGTGGTTTGCCATTGCCTCTTTCCTAGGGCTGAGAGAAAGTGACTGGCCCAGGATTACCCAGCTGCCATTATGCTTAAGGCGGGACTGGAACTCATGGTCTCGGCCTACAATTAACACATGCCTTTTTAGCATTCTATTCTTATAAATACTTTTAAAGTTAATACTCTATCCTATCAATATGAAATTGATACATTATTTCTTCTCGATGAGCTGTTTATCCATAGGCTTAGAAGAAAAGTTGAAATCTACTTAATGCTGTCGGTTTAAGGAGATCCATTGGTAATGTGTTTTTATAATCGGGGTAATATTCCATTCTTGAAACTACTTACAAGATAACCCTGAGGCTAAGTTTGTTGAAAAAACTGCAGAGATCTGATATGAACCACATTATGATTTAGCATGATATGTGAAGCCTGAGTATTCAGAATTGATTTTGATGCTATATTTCTGAAGATTTCACAGTTCTCAAAAAGATAAATCTGTGTGTGACAGCTGGATTTTAATGGCATAATTGTGTGCTGTTCTTTTTTCCAAGTTGTAATAGAACATGTTAGGGTGGTTCCTCATTGGATTTTAACCTCTTAAGTGAAAGACTTGAGCATATATGTTTTATTACTGGACATGTGCAAAATATTTTTCTGCCTTATCTTCCTATTACACTAACAATTGATTTTGCTATCTTATCTAAAATACAGCATCACTTCTGGTTGGACTGGCAGGAAATGTTGCTCTTCTTTTTTAATGTTCTTTGTTGATATATTGATGGTGACACACCTTTTTATTATTTGGGCATGATAGTAAAGAATAAAATGACTTCCTTTAAAACAAAACATTTCCCAAATATGGGGGGGGGGGTTGTTTTTATTGCACTTTTATGATTTCCTTTAAAAGTTTGCACTGGAAAAAAAAGATTAAAGAAAACATCCCAGTCAAAATAACTACAGTAGAGCTAGGGAGCTCAACAGATATACTTTTAATAACTTCAAAGATCAGGGGAAAAAATCAACTACCCAAAGTTTTAAATAATTAAAATATCCTCATATTGTCTGCACCATTCAAGAATTACAATTATAACATATGGAGTTGGAATGTCTGTGTTATAGTTGATCAATACAAATTTGCAGCCTGAAACTGTAAGGCTTGGCAATTTCCATAAACTTCCCATTGCTTTATAGCCAAGTTTTCTATATGCCACAAAAAATGCCTCCTTGATGTAGTTTTTCAACTTCTCTCCAGTAATATTCAGTATAAGTGTTACTATTTATCTCTTTAATTTTTCCATCTTTTGTTTTTCCCCCTTTCAATTCTCTCTCCCTTTCTCCTCCCCTCCCTTGTTCTATAATTCATCTTTTATTCATCATTATGCCAAACCATTTTATAAACTCTCCACATCTGTCAAGGCATTTGAGTTGCCTCTGAAATTTATTCCAACGCATAAATAATACTGTATCAATTAATGACTGCCTCCAGTTAATATTGAAAAATGACACTGCTTAAAGAAGATAAAAGAAGAGATAACTTAAAGGCTTTTTTTGTTAATATGTAAAGGATCCTGTTCTAATTATTGTTCTTCAGTATGATTGTATAAGGCAGAATATCGTTGGCCAGTGTTGGGGAACAAAATAACAATTCTGTTTTAGAATGGATGATCATGCTATGCAATTTAGTTATAATGACTTTACTAATGAGTTTTTACTAGATTTAATGAAGAGAGATGTAATATGCAATTTTAAAGTTTTTTAAATTGAATATTCTTCTTTGTTCAGAGCAATTAATTACAATATAATTGTTTCATTAAAAAAAATACAATTTTAAATTACCACAACCATTTTAGTATAACAGTTCATATAGTGGTATTTGAGATCAGTAAAAAGAAAATGTCCCAAATGAAAAAATACATAATTTAGCAATATTTTAAGAAGTTTTACTGTGCTACCTTACCTTGAATGTTTTGCATTTCTGTCCTAGTTCTGCTAAGGACAAATGTTATAATCCTCCATGCATTTGACTCCAGATTTGAACAGATGGTTTTCTAAAAATTAACTGTTACCCCATAACCAGACTTAATTTTCGGAAACTAATGTTTTAATGATGAAATGATTCTTTATATGTAATTTTCATCCTACCCTTCCTTCTCACTTTCATTATAATGGAGATTTTTTGATTGCTTCTCCAATAGTGATATGTCTCCTTGATATTCCCCATTAGTTTTCAGTAGTTACCTTTTTGCCTGCATGCCAACCTTCAGTTTAATGGCCTTTTTTGTGTGTTCGTTTTGTTTTGTTTTCCATCGTGGTTTTGTTTATTTCTTTTTTTGGTTTTTTTTTATGTTTTCTCCTTAAATCGTCGTGATGTTTGCCCTTCATATTCCCCAATGTTTGCACATGACAAGATGTTGCCATCCCAACATTACCTCCCACTTCACTGACCAGTGCCACTACTGACCATCTAGCACCAGCTACAACTGGACCTTTGCCTTCTGCTCCTCGAGATGTGGTGGCGTCTCTTGTATCTACTCGTTTCATCAAGCTAACATGGAGGACCCCTGCATCTGACCCACAGGGAGACAATCTTACCTACTCAGTGTTCTACACCAAGGAATTGAGTAACAGGTGTGCTTATTTAATTATTGCTAAACTGTGAACATTTAGAAGTATTGACCCATAACTGAAAAATAAGACTTGGGCTGATAGGTGAAGCATCACAGCTTCTCATTTTAGTATGCACTATAGACCGAAGTTTAATCATTAAAACAAGCAGAACTAGTTATTTAGTTTAGATGATTTCACAAAATTGTTCCAGACTTTCGTGATGCTTAAAACTTCAAGCTATGCCAAAGACATAGAACATGAATGGAAGATGCCATCAGACTCCACTGGTTCAAAGATTGCATAAATACTTCCAGTCATGAGTCTCGTATGCTGTCCATGCTTATATAATATATACTGTTCTGCCAATAATTACTTGCTTCATTTTTTTCTATTCATCTTTTTGGTGCCATTTCTTCTAACAGTCTGGACTTGTAGCTTGTAGATTCTAATTTAAAAAAAACCCAGTGTAGTGCTGTCATGTTCTACCAATTTCTCACTGAAAGGCATCTTTTATTATGGTTACATTAAAAGTTGGGTATCAATTACTTGAAGGCTGTGGTGGTTACAGATGAGTTTATTTTATATCATCTAGTACTCCACATTAATTCAATGAAGTTTATCATAGTTACTTTGCATCTTTTATAATGTAAATCTGTGGCTGCCCAATTAATTGTCCTAGATTAAATCAAAACAGCAGTAGTAATATTCACGTTATCCATAATTGATGATTTCACTCTAACATAAAACAACAATGATCTGTCCTAATAAGTCTTGCATGCCCATTTTCACTCCCAACTCTTTTTTTTTTTCTTTTCTTTTAAATAAAGGGAGCGTGTTGAAAACACAAGTCATCCTGGAGAAATGCAAGTGACAATCCAAAACCTGATGCCTGAAGCAGTATATATTTTCAGAGTGGTGGCCCAAAACAAACATGGACCTGGGGAGAGTTCAGTACCATTGAAAGTAGCCACACAACCTGAAGGTAAGCATTAAATATCAGTGGTTTGCTACTTACATTGCTCTTTTTAACATTTTGTTGTTAATATTTTGTTTTATTATTTTGTAATACGCCCTGCTTATTATTTAGTTCAGCTTCCAGGTCCAGCCCCCAACATTCGTGCCTATGCCATCTCTCCCACATCGATAACTGTTACTTGGGGTACACCCTTATCGGGCAATGGCGAGATCCAGAACTACAAACTGTATTACATGGAGAAGGGAATGGAGAACGAACAGGTGAGATACTTGTATGTTAAGAAAGCAGTTTTTATATTTGCATATTATGATTATGGGATATAATTCTTGAATCTGTTTATCATTCTTCTGCTCCTAATAGCTAAGACCTAGAAAAACCCTACTCCGGTTAGATCAGAAGGTCTCATCAAGAAAAGTGTGATCTTTAGGAATGCCCCTGTCCTCTGAGTTATTGTTTGCAGATATACAAAGAGATGACTTTCTCCTGGAGGAATGACTTTCTGATGAATATTCATATCTATTAAAATTCATATTGACTTTTGTCAATACTTCCTTCTATTTTTGAATGTATTGGTGCAAAAACTATAGAAGCATCAATTCACTCGAAAACCATGCCTTTGTTATCCTGACTGGTTAGGAAGCTTTGCTTTGATTCTAAATAGATTATTTTGGCATCAGTTATATTGTATTTATGATGTGAACACAGGATAACTGGGACAGAGAGAGAGAGAGAAATCTCCAGAACCAGAAATGAGCAAATATTCAAGTATAGCCATAATGTGGACCTTGCATATTTCATAAATTATCAAGCCCAAATTATGATTTATGCATCACATTTTTCATCTTTTTAAATAGGACATTGATGTTGGAGGTCTTTCCTATACAATAATTGGTTTGAAAAAATATACAGAGTATAGCTTCAGAGTTGTGGCCTACAATAAACATGGTCCAGGAGTCTCTACTCAAGACGTTGTCATTCGTACACTGTCAGATGGTAAGTGTTTTCAAATTGTAGAAAGAATTCCTATGTATTTATTTGCATTTTATATATAACCAATTTGGTTTGGCTTCTTCATACTATATAGATCTAAATAGGAAGTTGTGCTGAAATCTTTTGGGAAAAATGGTTTCTTGGGCTTTTCCTTTGCATTTTCTATATTTTACTATTTTGTCTTCTATTTTTGGTATTGAGCAAAGTATCTTAAGAGACTATGTGTCTGTGTGTGTATGTACATATATCTTTGCTTCTAGCAATATGAGGTATTATCTTGACAATCTTTGTAGATATTACTCTGAAAATTTACACACACACTCACATGAATATTCAGTGAAATTGGGAGATCATGATAAAATCCACTTGCTTTTAAACTGGAACAACTATAATTCATTTTTAATTTACATTGGGGATACAGTGATCTCTGAGAGATGTTGAATTTTGAACCATATTTGAATAACTTCTTTTAATGTTTCTAGTTCCCAGTGCTGCACCCCAGAATCTAACACTAGAAGTGCAAAACTCCAAGGTAAGACACTTCTCTGTTTAGATGCGGGTGAAGCATCTGATTTTCTTCCTATGAATGTATGATTTGAATGTATGATGAATCAGCTATAGTTTATAAACTCCCTCCCCTTGGTTTTTTTTTTTTTTTGGGGGGGGGGGGGGGGCTGAATAAATTCTCAATTTGCATGCTTAAAAGCAGCAGTAAACATTGACTGTACTAGCCCAGTGTACAAATAGTGAAGATTCACTATGGTGAAGAGTCATGTTAATGTTTCAGTATCTTGCAGAAATTATTGACACTACATACATACAATATTATTTGCAAGTTACATGGTTGGGTTGTTTCCAGGTACATCATTATAATGTCAGAGATATTAAGTTTATATATAATATTTCTAAGTATGTGTAAGTTATTTCTTGGACCAGTATAGTGGAGATTAATGAAGCATGACAATTAGCCTAATTTAACTTAGATAATATGATTTATAATGCCATTTAACTTCCCACAGAGCATTGTGATGCATTGGCAGCCTCCTCCCACAGGAACACATAATGGGCAAATTACTGGCTATAAGATTCGATACCGAAAAGTGATTCGCAAAAGTGATGTCACTGAAATCATTGTGGGGACACAACTTTCACAGCTCATTGAAGGTGAATAAGTTGGAATTCCCAATCTAAAAATAACCTAAACTACTGCAAGCTTCTTGTTTTAAGAAAAGAAGAGGGTCTATTATCAAAAAATAACCTTCTCTATCCTTGTAATATTTCTTTTGCTCAGGGAAGTCCTCTTAGTTTTAGTTTGTGGGTTCATCACAGATACTGCACTTTCAGTCAAGCCATCCTAAAGATTGGCGAGTGATTCTTATTTCTCAGAAAACCTCTCTTTAGTTCTTCCTTCTCTGTCCTTAAAGTAAGGCCTGGCCCATCTAGAAATGTCCCCGTAAATCAGATTTATCAGATAAGAATATTTTAACTCACATTTTAAATTGATTTGTTATGCCTTTGTCAAGGTGTTTTGTTTTTATAGAAAATGTTAAGACCATCCGCTATGGAAATAAAACGAGTAAATCATTTGAAACTCTTAGTTCTTCTATTTGCTGAAGGAAAATTACATATTCTTTTGCCACCGACATACAGGAAAGGTCACTGTAGTGTGTCGGTCCTTTCTTGCTTGACAGATAATAATTTATGGCAACTGAATCTCTTACAGCAAATATTAAGTCTTACAGCAAATATTGTTGATTTGTCCTGCTTAGCTGTGGGTTGTGCTCCAGTAACCATCAGGAAGATGAAAGGCCAAAACAAAAAGTATTTGTTTAACCAGATCTGTGTCAGCTGTGACTCAAATTATAACTTCGAAATAATAATAATCTCTTGAAGGTGCTTATTGGGGCACTTCGAAGTAACAGGATCATGGAACTATTGCTATTCTAATTAGAAGCAGAAAGCTTGCTTGCAATTAATATTGAATACTGTATTTCAGTATGATGTCTTTTATACTAGCTTTGGAACGAGGGACCGAGTACAGCTTCCGAGTGGCTGCTTTAACAGTCAATGGCACAGGAATAGCTACGGACTGGATATCAGCAGAAACATTTGAGAGTGACCTTGATGGTATGGATGCCAAGATTTAACAAGCTGGTCTACTTTATGAGGCTGAGAAACTATTTTATTTTTTATTCAGTTATTAAAGTTTTGTGCCGCCCATCTCCCCAATAAGGTGACTCTGTGGGGTATAATCATCAAAATAACTTGGTGACATCTCTTAAAAGTCTTTTAGGTTTATTATTTCTTGTCTTAACACATTTAAATAATAAGTTTTCTTCTTTGTAGAAACTCGTGTTCCAGAAGTGCCAAGTTCATTGCACGTCCGTCCACTTGTAACCAGTATTGTTGTCAGCTGGACCCCACCGGAAAACCAGAACATTGTGGTCAGAGGTTATGCCATAGGGTATGGCGTAGGCAGTCCCCACGCTCAGACCATCAAGGTGGATTATAAGCAACGATACTACACTATTGAAAATTTGGGTAATTATGTAAGATTTTAATCTGATACTTTGCTAAGTAACAATATAGCAATAGCACTTGGACATATCCCGCTTCACAGTGCTTTACAGCCCTCTCTAAGCAGTTTACAGAGTCAGCCTCTTGCCCCCAACAATCTGGCTCCTCATTTTACCCACCTTGGAAGAAGGGAAGGCTGAGTCAACGTCCAGCCTGGTGAGATTTGAACTGCCAAATTGCAGGCAGCCAGCAGAAGTATCCTGTAGTGCTGCACTCTAACCACTGTGCCACCGCGGCTCATCTATATAAAATATAAAATCAATGCTGATCAAAATGCTTGCTTTTTATGTCCTCATTTGGTATTAAAAGTGTTCTACCTCTATGTTCACTCTAGATTTCATGATGTATAGCAAAATGGATGTTAAGTTTCTTTCATTCTTGTTGTGGTGCCTGAGTTAGTATGATAAAGCTAAGAACATTTTATATGAATCTTGAACTATCTCTGAAAACAGATGTTTCTGTAGCGCTAAAGAATCTTGTGTTTACTAATAGAGTTTTTTTTTTTTTCAGATCCCAGTTCCCATTATGTTATAACTTTGAAAGCATATAACAACGTTGGTGAAGGGATCCCTCTTTATGAGAGTGCAGTGACAAGAGCCTATACAGGTAAAGATGAGATAGCCTAAATCAGGGGTGTCCAACCTTGGCAACTTTAAGACTTGTGGACTTCAACTCCCAGAGTTCCTCAGCCAGC